GGCCGCCCCCACCCCCTACCCGCCCCCCCCACCCCTGGCAGGCTGCCGGCAGGCCCAGAGGCTTCGCACAGCGAAGTATTCGGGCCAGTGATGGAATGAGGGGTCTAACATCAGGGGCCTCACTGAGAAGTCTCTGCAACGAGAGACCTTCTCACAGTGGCCGTGACAGAGGACAAACTGCACCATCGGTCAGCGTCCCCAGGCCCAGGAGTCTGCCCCTGGCCCCGGAGAAAGAACAGCAGCAGGGCCTCCCCAACATGGCCCAGAGCCTCAGGCCACCCGAGACTGTCTGGTCCCTGTGAGGTCACGGCCCACCGAGCTGCCAGGCCTCCGCCCGGCTTCCTGCCCCCAGCCCTTCCCCCTGCGGCTCTGTTCCAGGCTGCGTTGTTCTCAGCCGTGGTCCCTGCACCCGCCTTGCTCTCTCAGCATGAGCTCAGGCCCCTCAGTTGCCATTCTGTCACCACAGGCGCATGGAGCTGGTTCACCACAATAAACGCCCAATGTCAACCCCTGCAATTGCTGCCGACGGGTCCTGGCCCCAGCTGCCTGCAGTGTGTGGGTTCTTGACTTCATGCAGGAAAGATCTGACAACTCGAGTCCAGGGGATTTGTGTTTATGAAAGCTGGGGACAGGAAACAAGGAAGAGCTTAGGGTAGAAGCAACAGGAGAAAGTCAGAGAGCAAGGGGGCCCAGGAGGCAGGTTCAGGGCTGAGCCTGGGACAAACTGCCACTGCCTGTTGCTCCCCTGGTTGCCAGTCTCATCAGGAGAAAAGCTTCAGCGTGACAGGGTGTGGTGTGCTCAGTGAGAGGCACCGGGTCCTTTGTCTTGTGGCTTTTATCTTCCTTTGGCCGGCGGACTCCTGAGGAACGTCTCAGGGAGGGTCTCAGCAGGGTGTCCTTTAGCTTTCCAGGCCAGTCCTTCAGGGAGTTGATGCATCAGGATGTGCATAGCGAGAGGCCAGGGCTCCTCTCTGGTGGTTTTGGTTTTAGAGAACGTCACTGAAGGGGGCCTGGACCGGGCGGGTCTGCCCCCAAACAGTCTGGAGTGTGTAAACCATTCGCTCCCAAGTGTGCTTGCTGGGGGAAGACAGACACTGGGATTCACTAGCCGGCTGTGAACTGCTCAAACAGTTTGACCTTGTTTAATTATTTTGCCTCCGTTTCTTTATTCACTTGTTAAGGAATTTCCCTGCCTTCTGACTGTCCTGCCACAGAATGGGCCTCCTGTGATGTGCTTGTGGGATGATACTGACTATTATCTCAGAAAGGAGCCTGGAGGGAGCTAGCTCCACGGTGCACAGACTGTGGCAAGAAAGGGTCCCGAGACCAGGGCTGGTGGTGCCAGAGGAGCCCCGGCCCCAGGCTCTGACCTGCTGCTTGGGACGTGTCTTCTCTCAGCTTAAATACACACAGTAGAACTTTTTCCTGGAATAGATATCAGTCCTACAACACTCATCCGTGGTTAACACTCTAGTAGCCAAGATGCTGGGAAAGGGTGGGATATGGGCGTTTCTGGTGGAAATCTCAGACTCACAGTGTCCGTTTCAGTTCTGGTGAAAACGGGACCATCTTGTTGTCTGCCGCACAGATGAAACTGTGTCCTTCCTTCAAAGGCGAGGGGCACACTAGCACGGCTGTCCATGAGGGAGTGAGTGTGTACGCACGAATAAGGGTATACACAGTATAAACACGGTATACACACAGTACATACACAATATGCACAGAGTGTACATACAGTGTACATACAAGATACACATGATATACACAGGATGCACACAATATATACAGTGTATACATACACACAGGACACAGTATACACATAGGACACACACACTATACACACAGGATATACACAGTATGCATGCAGTATACACAGAGTATACAAACAGTAAACAACAGGATACACACAGTATATACATGATATACATAGGATGCACACAATATATATAGCGAATACATACACACAAGATACACACAGGACACACACACTATGCACACAGGATATGCACAGTATGCACGCAGTATACACAAAGTATACATACAGTATACACATGGTATACACATGGTATACACAGGATATACACAGGATATGCACAGTATACACACAGTATACAGAGTATACACACAGGATACACATGGTATACACACAGGATATACACAGTGTACATAGAGTATACATTCAGTATACACGCAAGATATACACAATATACACAGAGTATACATACAGGATACATACAGGATGCACACGGTATACACTCAGGATATGCACAGTACACACACAGTATACACACAGGATACACATGGTATACACATAGGATACACACAGTGTACACAGGATATCCACACAGTATACACACAGTGTACACATGATATCCACACAGTGTGCACGCAGTGGGCATGAACCCCTAGTGTCCCCTGGGAGCTGGGCTGGTTTCCTGGGCTCAGCCTCCAGCACAGCTGGCTCGTTCACTTGAGTCGGCCTGGCTGTGCCCTGCTTCAGCGTGAACGGATTTCCTCTGGTTCTGTTCAGATCAACCCTCCTCAGCACAATAGTAATCCAATTCAAAAAGCACTTGTTAGGTTCATGGTGCTCAAACCTGTGTCCTGTGTCAGGGGATCAGCTTTGGCTCAGCTGGGCCCTGATTGGCCAGGTTAGTGGTGTGAGCGTGGCGTCATCACCGGGCACTTCTGAGCCCTGTTGGATGGAGGGTGAATGCAGGACCCGGGGAGGCCTCTCAGAGGCCGTAGAAGCGCAGTGTCCGGGGCCTCACATCTGGCGGCTCATGGCTGTGCCTGCTCACCGTGGACCCTGCTCCGCGTGCTGACTGTTCGCATCTCTCTTTCCCTTAGAGGAGATCTTGAAGACCCACATCGCCCACTGGTGGTCTCCGGACGGTACGAGGCTTGCCTACGCCACCATCAATGACTCCCGCGTGCCCGTCATGGAGCTCCCGGCCTATACGGGCGCCATGTACCCCACGGGGAAGCTCTACCACTACCCCAAGGTAGGTGAGACGCCACGGGAACACACTGCCCTGCCCCTCAGCCCCCCAGCCAGCCATCCCCAAAGTGGGCCTGGGACCTTCAGACCCGTTAGGAGCAATACAGTCAACAGAGGCAGGATGAATTACTTCCCCTTACATGGCATTCTCTCCCTGTCAGTTGAGTTCAATTTGTTGGCAAATTTACCTTATTTTAAATAATTGGACTGCCGTTAACCTTGTGTCTAAGCTTCATTCCAGGTAACAAACCCTCACACTGACCACTGCGGACACTCCCCGCTCGTTCCCTTTTTAGGATCTGGTTCTGGGCGGTGAGAGGGACCTGTCTGCCAGCCCCTGGGTCCACAATGGGCTGGCTGCACTAGACTGCCCCAGGCCCCTGCACCCCCCTGGCGACAGCGCTCACTTCCCGCCTGGGCCAGCTAGTACTGAGCCCCAGCTGCCCACGCCATCAGAGGGCTCGAGAGCTGCAGCCACATGTCTGTACACAGGACACCCCCGACATGCAGTGGGGAGTTTGCAGCAGGAGGGAGGATAGGTGGTGCACGTCAGCCAGCTCGGCAGCTGTAACAAACACGACATTCAACAGACACGGTTCCTCATGGGCTACAGGCTGGGGGTCTAAGGCAGCTGCCAATGCAGTCGGTTCTGCTGAGAACCTCTTCCAGTTTCCAGCCAGCCACCCCCTCCTGTGTCCTCATGTGGCAGAGAGAGCACTCTGGTGTCTTCCTCTCCTTCTAAGGACATAAACCCCATTATGGGGCCCCACCTCATGACCTCATCTAACTCCAGGTGCCTCCCAAAGGCCCCACCTGCAGACCCCATCCCATGGGGGCCGGGGCCTCACATTTTCATTCGGGAAGAACACAGTCACTCCGTCCATAGCAGCTGGTACACAGACCCATTCCTGAGGCTCTTCCAAAATGGGGCCACTGTCTAGCGAGGTCCAAGGTAGAGACACGTGGGTCCCGGGCCAGAGCTTTGTCTCTGCCGTGTTCCTGTCCCAAGGGCACCTGGGTGTCAGTGTGTGACAGGGATGTGCCTTTTGACCGAATTCCTTTACTCCAGCTCTGGCTTGTCATCCACCAAACCCGTGGAAAGGCCTGGGTGATAGCCAGATACAGCTAAGTAAGTGAGCTGGATGATGCCAAGCCTCTCAACCCATACACACACACACACACACACACACACACACACACACACACACACACTACAGCCCGGCTGTCTGACCTTCGTCTGTCCACCCACAGCTGGAGTGGTTTACCAGATGAAGCCCTAATCTAGGGGTAAGGACCTTGGTCTTACAGTGAGGGCCTTGGTCTTACAGTGAGGGCCTTGGTCTTAGAGTGAGGACCTTGGTCTTACAGTGAGGACCTTAGTCTTACAGTGAGGGCCTTGACCTTACAGTGAGAACCTTGACCTTACAGGGAGGGCCTTGATATTACAGTGAGGACCTTGACCTTACAGTGAGGACCTTGACCTTACAGGGAGGGCCTTGATATTACAGTGAGGACCTTGACCTTACAGTGAGGACCTTGACCTTACAGTGAGCTCTGGGACAGGTGCTCAGAAGTCAGATTGATAAAACCCCAGATCACTGAGGGTTTGAGATTTCATTTTAATGGAAAGTAACCATATTCTGGCCACAGAACTCAGCCGCTCTTTGCCCCATGATGCTTCTGCCAAATTAGAGCCATGAGCTGGTCCACCCACCGGACTCTGCCCTGCCATGGGGTGGGTTTCCTCCTCCACCTGAGCTTCTCCCTCAGTCCCACCCACAGCCCTGCAGATGGCGCAACTCCACATAGTCCCCTTCCCCTTCCTGCTGGTGCCACTGGTCCCAGGACAGAGGGAGTGGGGGTTCAGAGGGAGGAGGTTCTGTTCCTTTCAAAGGACTTTGTTTTCCCACCGCTGGGCCACAACGTCATCACCATCGTCTCCACTTCCAGAATTTTCTCTCCTTCTCCTTATCTATTTGTTTCCCATTCCCAGGGGCTCAGCCAATGGAGTGGTGCTGGGCTGGTGATGACAGGTGGCGGGGAGGGCTGGACTCAGTGAGGAGAGGGCAGGCTTCCGGCCTCGAGCAGAAGTGGTCGGCTCACGCAGGAGCAGCCTGCCCCCAGCAAGCTTTGCTCCTGAGCTCTGAGCTGCAGGCCCCGGGGCCTGTGCCCTGGGAAGACTCCCCAGGCTCGGCTCTGGCCAGACCGCGGTGGCCTCACCTCCCATCCTCTTGTCCTTCCAGGCCGGGTGTGAGAACCCCAGTATCTCCCTGCACGTCATCGGCTTAAACGGGCCCACCCACGACCTGGAGATGACGCCACCGGACGACCCGCGGATGAGGTTTGCTCCCCTCAGTTACGTTAGAAAATAGCAATGACGAGGTGATTGGTTGCTGAATGTGCATGGTCTCTCCGGGCCCCGGCGTATTTTCCTGCTAATGTAAATGTCCGAGAAAAAGGTAATTACCTGTTCCCATGTTTTATCTGGGTGTCCTGGCGCAGGGACACCAGCCTGCAGTCCTACATCTCTCACCTTCGCCCGGGTACCCGGCTGCCCTCCTCCCAAAGGGCTGTGGAGTCGACCACAGCTTCCAGCAGGGGGCGCACGGACTCCATCTTTCCAAAAACAGCCCATGTCATCGCACTTTTTGTCCCTGATGCCCCATTCTTGGAGCGTCATTCCGGAGCAGCCCTGTACCCACTGTTTCATGAGCCAACTCCCCCAGAGGGTGAGGGAACAGCGTGCCGTTGGGGGGACATTTTGACACAGATGATCCTGTTATTATTAACACCTAGTGCAGGTGGATTTGTTTTTAATCAAAAAAAACTGAGTAGCATCTATCAAAACAAAGTGGCCTGAATATCAGTTTTATTTTGTCCCAAAGTTCAAGGAGCCTGGAGGCGTGGAAACTTCCGGGTCCCACTTATGCGTCATTAAACTCTGCTGAGAATATGGGCGGGGACTGGGGGAAGGGGCGGGCGTTCGATTGGCACAGGTCCCCTCACTCAGAGAGCCTGCAAGTCTATAAATGGCCCCGGGAACCAAGAGCAATTCCTCCTCAGACTCGGCAAACGCCAGCCCAGATGGTGCCAGAGCTCTGCCCCTGCAGAGCCCCCACGTGTGGGCAGCTCCTGGCGGCTCCCGGCTCAGGGCTGGAGGAGTGAGCCGGTGGTTCTGCTGGTCTGAGTGGAGGCGTCTCTGGCGGTGATGCCCACGGTCACCCTCTGCCCCTGTCCGCAGAGGAGGTCCTGTAGGACGCCATGGGCGGGGTGGGGAGTCCAACCCTTCCTCATTCAGGGACTGTAAAGTGTGTAAGCGCCTCAGGCGAAGGGCTCCCTGCGTGTGTCCCGCCCGGGACTGATCCCCCTCTCGCCTCCGGTCCCCAGGCCTGGCTCTTGCAGCCTCTCCCTGGGGAGTGGGCCCTGCGTGTGCACCCATCGCTGGTCCGGGACTGAGACCCGCGGCGCTGGCACTGCTTGGCTGGGGGAGAAAGAGCAATGCCCCCTTTCCCGCAGCCCCTCCCTGCCCACCTCCTGGGCCCCGCCCAGCAGACTCACCGAATTAATACTGCGTCCCCTGGAACAGGGAGCCACCGGCTGGAGCGCACTTGGTTGGTGGTGCTGCTGCCGCAGGCTGGTCAGCTCCCGAGGCAGGAAGCATGAGCTCCCTCCCAGCCCGAGCCCGGCCGCCCTCAGGGCCGCTCGCTCCCATTTCCTGCGCTTTGGTGATGCCCTTTCTCCCAGTGCGAGGCTGTCGTACCGTATGCAGTGGCCACCCTGTCGTAGCCCCTCCCTGTCACACTCCCTCACGCTGTCCCCAGGTGCACAGGCAGATCGGAAACCGTGCGCCTCGGGCAGTCTGTTTCCTGAGCAGTTATTATCCACCACCCATGAGACAGGGTGCGGTGGGTGGGGAGGCACAGAGGGCACCTGAGCCTGGGGACTGGGTGAGCAATTGCAGGAAAAATCTGGAGGAGGCAGCACCTGGGGAGGGCAGTGTCTGCCATCGGCGTCTGGGCCGGAGCCTCTGCTGTGGGACGCCCTGGCGCTGTCGTGGTCAGCAGTCCTGGCCTCTGCTCACTGGGGTCAGAGCACCTCCCTCAGTGTGACAGTCACAGACGTCTCCGTCACTGCCCGGTGCCCCCCAGTCGAGGTCCGCTGGTTGACAGTGACGACTGCCTGAGTTCCCATCCTGGTCTGGCCTGGGTCCTGCCTCAGTTTCCTCCGCTGCACAATGAGATGAATATTAGTAAGAAACGTGTTTACCCGCAAGGGTGGCTGTGGCAACAGAATGAGATCATGCGCTCGGCACAGGGCTGGCTCGCGGGCGCCACCGTGTCCTGGCTGTGAAGTCCACCTGTCCCTGGCGCTCTCCCCT